CCCCCCCCCCCACGAGAAGAAGCATGAGAAACGCGGCAGTGGAACAGAGAGCTCCCAGGGGCTCCGGGGTGGGCCTGGTGGACAGAGACGCGGCTTCAGTGCACGCCTGCCGGCCCACCCCCTCGCCCAGGGCAGTTCTGGGCTCTCTGTTCGATGTGGCAATGTTCCTGAAACGCTGTGATCCCGGTGGGCTGTGCTCTGCCAGCAGCAGCACCTGTGCAGGAGGGCTGGATGATGGTCGGTATGGCTCAGAGGAGCTGGGTCCCCTCCGGAGCCCCCAGGTCGGGGCAGCGGAGGAGAGAGGGGCGGTGGTTACGTTGCATAGTGGTCAAAGCTGCCGAGGTACTCCAGGGCCGCGCGGTAGCACAGCTGGTACTGGTCCTGCCGGGACAGGGGTCCGGTCAGCGCAGACAGCAATGGCGGATACCCCGACACACAGCCAAGGGCACTCACACTGCAGCCAGTGGGTCATGGACTTAGCCTCTGCCTCTGCTGGCCAGCAGCAGGGGCTAGATCCAGACATCTGCCCAGGCTTGCCCCTGCCGCCCCCACTCTGCCCCTAGATCGTGTACCCTGTAAGGACCGACACGTGCAACCCCAGCTGGGAGCCAGGCACAACACTGGCGTCCAGTGCACGGCTGCCGAGCGGGGAACCCGTCCAGCTCAGCCTTCCCCAGCATGTGTCTGTGAGGAGCTGGCTTTGGCATGGCCAGTGGCCTGCATACCTCCGTCTGCACCATGGCTGGGCGCTGTGTGCGCAGGGTCTTCACGGTCTGGAACATGTCGACCACGCCCTCGTAGCGCATCCGCTCCAGGACGATGCTCAGCGTGATGAACACCCCGGTGCGGCCGACACCAGCACTGCCCAGGGACAGTGCTGGGTCAGGGCTCCTGCCCCTGAACCCCCAACCCCCCACACGCCCAGACCTCCATGGGGTCGGCCCCACCTGCAGTGCACCGTGATGGGCCCATCCTGCCCGAACTGCTCCTTGGTCTTGTGCACCTGCCCGATGAAGTCGATGAAGCCCTCGCCCGTCTTGGGCACGCCCTGCTCTGGCCAGTCTGTGAACTGGAACTGCCGGATCGTCCTTGACTGCCCATCCTGGGAGAGGTGGCAGAGGCCGGGGTCAGGGCTGGAGCTTCAGGCGGCAGCCCCCCAGGGGAGGCGGACAGTGCGGTAGCACAGGTAAGCACCCTGAGGTCGTTACACCGAGGCCACCCTCGGAAATGGGCTTGCACGCCCACAGCTCACCTTCGATTCCTGCAGCTGGAGCTGGGGCACCACAAAGGCAGCCCCACCACAGGGGCTCCGGCAGCGTTACAGACAAGCTTTCATACAAATATACACACTCCCCTGTCCACTCACCCTGGCATCTGTGACCTTGAATTCACGCAGGATATACTGGGGCATGTTGTACTCAGCCATCGGGTCAACGACAAAGTACTGGTAGCGAGCAGAGCGCTCTGCGGGCCAGTACTGGTGGCACTTCTCCTGTGGACAGAGGGCCCGGCCCCATGGTCAGGTGGGGAAAACGTGGGGAGGGGAGCTCCGGGTTTCAGGGGATTCGAGGGCAGCATGCCACAGGCGGTGGTAACGGGGTCTGAGGCTGTGCTGACAGGGCCGGGAGAGGAAGCACACGACAGAGAAGGGGTGGCTGGCGTGCTCACCCTGCCCATCTCCCGAAGCCTGGTCAGCATGACGATGATGGTGGAGTTGTGCTCCCACAGCATGCGCCAGAAGTCCTCTGTGCTCTCCGCCAGAGGCCCCTGTGTGGCTATGTAGGCCTTCTGCTGTCTGGGGCGGACATAAGACTGGACATGCCGGAGGTGCTGCTGTCCCCCGAGTCTCCCCATGGCTGCCTAGTCCCTTGGGGCCCCGCTCAGATCACCCCTCCTCCAGGAAGCCCACCCTGGTCTTCCAGGCTGGCCCTACTCTGTTGCGCCCCCAGCCGGCCAGGAGCAGGCCTGGCTACCCGTGGGTGTGGTGGGCAGTCACAAGTGTGCTGACCTATAGCCATCCAGGAAGCTGGCATTGATGTAGTCGGAGCCCTCCACGCCGCGGATGGGCTGCAGACACACACGGGTCAGTTCGTAGGGCATGATGTTCACCAGGCGGTTCTTGAACTTGTTGCAGGGCAGGTTGGCGCTGATGAAGCGGGATGTGTGGGCCTTGGAGCTGGCCAGCAACTAGCGAGAGGGAGAGGCTGGTCAGGCCTGGCTTCCTGAAGGACTGTCCCCGGGTCCCAGTCCGGGCCCTGGAGCCAGGCAGGCCCAGCCCTGAGCCCACCTTGAACTCCAGCTCCATGGCAGTCACACTTTCCCCAGGAGGCACTTGGCCCAGCTTCTGGATGTGGGCATAGAGGTTGCGAGCAGGCACCTCCGTGTGTCCACACGTGGCGGCCTCCAGCAGCGCCTCATGGATGAACACGTACTGGTCCTCGGTCTGCACCATGTAGTTGCGCTGCGACCGCATGCACGTCACATGGCCGTAGATGTCCACCGTTTTCTCGTGCTTCATCCGCTCCAGCATGGCGTCGATGACGATGAAGCAGCCCGTGCGGCCCACGCCCGCACTGCAGGACACGGACTCAGCCTGGGCAGGGGCCCACCCCGCCTTTGCCCCACCCCCCGGTGGCGTGGCACTCCCTCACCTGCAATGCACCACCATGGGCCCGGCGTCCAGCGGGTTGCAGGCCTTGACCCGCCGCAGGAAGGCCAGGATGGGGGTTGGGTACTCGGGAACTCCGTGGTCTGGCCAGGCCATGAACTGGAACTGACGCAGCTCCCGCTTCTCACTGGAGCCACTCTGGGGAGAAGAGCGAGGAGAGATGGTGTGACCAGGGAGTGTGTACTCTCTACAGACTCAGGGCAGGATGCCCCAATGCTGAGGCCAGACCCCGGCTTTCCAACGGGACTCAGGAGCCACACGGGGCAGCCTGAAGGAGCTTGGGTGCTGCTTCCATCCATGCCGCCCATGGCACCGGCTGTCATGGTGCGCTCACACCTCCAAGCCCTGACCTCCAACACCGGGCTCCCACTCGCCCCCTTCCCCGCCAGCACACCATGTTCAGACCATTGTCCTCATAGGTCCCGGCCGGGGGACAAGCACGGGGGCAGGACCATACCTTGTGGAGCGCAAAGGTGCGCACAGTGTAGGTGGCCAGCTCCACTGTGTCCAGCAGGGTCACCTGGATGAGGCTGTAGGTCTCGGTGCCACGGGGTGGCCAGTACTGATCGCACTTCACCTGCAGAGGGACAGCAGGGCAGGGTCCAAGGGTGTTTGGAGGTACCCAAAAGCTCAGGCGGGCAGAAGCAGGGTGGGAGGTCTAGCCCTCGGCCGAGCTCTTAGATCCATTAGGCCACCCCTCACCAAACCCTATCATGGTCTCACGATACGCCCCCACCCCTGCCCTCACCACGGGAACGAGGGACGTAATTGAAAATTGTTTATTCATGACCAGATTTCAACAGGCACATTTTCTGCCAAATTTACCCGTAAGGTTTATGCACCATTTTCAAGCTCTGTAAATTTTACGTTCCAGTCAGAGCTTTGCTGTGCATAAGCAGATAACAGCAGCTCTTTCCACTAATTAACTTAAGAGACGTGTTAATGCCCCGGCTACACTCCAGCATCTGGGGAACACGTGAACATCCCAGAAACATGCCAGCAACTGGGGAGCATATTAACATTCTTGGAAAATGACAGCATCTGGGGCAACATATTAACATGCTGGGAATCCACTAGTATATGGGGAACGTGCCACATCCCAGGAACGTCCAGCAGCTGGGACACGAAGACACCCCAGGGAAACAATAGCACTTGGCAAGTCCCTCGAGGAGCTTCCTCCCACAGGGATGGGAAAAGGTGTCTGAAGTCCCCTGGTGGCTGAGTATCCACTGCCACCCTCCTCCCCCGCCCTGGGCAGGGCTCTGCACAGCCTTACCCGGGACTTTTCCTCCAGCCGTGTCATCATGACCACAGTGGCTGTACGCTGCTCCCACACCATCCTCCAGAAATCGCCCATGGTCTCGGGCAGCGGGCCCTGCGTGGCAATGTAGGCATTCTGCTTGCGGTAGCCATCGATATAGTTGGCGTTGATGTAGTCACTCCCCGGGACACCTATGAACGGGAAGGGACGTGGGAGAGCATTATCCTGGGGCCTCCAACCCAGTCCATACCTCCTCGGTGCACCCTGGGACCCGTGGGCCTCTCCTAGAGGATGAAATGTCACCCAGCGAGGAGGTGATCAAGGGAATGGGAGGGGGCCCTGCCCTCAGCTCACCATCAATGGAGGTAAGGATGACTCGAGAGTGGTCGTAGGCAATGACGTTGGCGTAGCGGTTCTTGGGCTTGTTCACCTCCAGATTTGAATTCTCCCACGTGAACTGCTGTCCAGGGTCAATTGACTGCAGGGAATGGAGGAGGCAGGTGGAGTTGGGTAAGAGCTGACTACCTAGTGCCTCCAGGGAGACCTAGCCTTCCAGGTGGTGTCCACATCCGGTTCACAGCCAGCCGCTCGACGGCATGGTGCCGGTGAAGGCTGAGCACCAGCTCCCCTGGCCACGGAGCGAAGAGGCTGGCATGGCACCGATCAGCAAGGCGATGGACCGAAGACTCCTCCGACCAAGGTACCAAATCCCCCTCGCCCAGGAGAGTGGTCAGGGGTGGGGTGGGGGCTAGGGAAGTTCCTCAAGCCCTGAATCCAGCTAGTGAATGCGTGCAGAAGCAACGGCGGCCAGCTGTGCACGACCCAATGCTGCTGGGGCTCTGGCCAATGCTGCATGGCCTTGCCCAGCTGTCGTCTTCCCTCTCTGGCTGTTCCTTCCCATAGGCAGGACGCAGTGCTCCTCCGGAGTTCATTCCTGGGCCCTCTTTGCACTCTCCAGCCCTTCCTGGGTGAGTTCACTTGCTCTCAGGACCTTACACCCATATGCTGGAGCCGCCATAACCCCAGCTACAGCCCAGACTCTCCCCTTAGCTCCCAGTCTGAATAGCCAGCAGCCCCTTGGACATCCCACCTGGACATCCCACACTCCTTCGGTCTCAACCCTTGCCAAGCTGAGCTCATCAGCTCCCCCTGCAAACCCGGCTCTGCTGCTGGGGCTCCATCTCAGTGAAGGGCACTGCCCTCATTTACCCCAAAGCCCCGGCCACAACCTGCAAGTCGTCTTCAAAACTCCTCTGTGCCCCATCCCATCACTCCCAGCCCCTCAGCTCTCTCCAACCTGCTGCCAGGGTCTCAACCAGGCCACCTCTGCTCAGACTTGGCATCTCCCTGCCTCTTCGCTTGGCCCCACTCCGTCCTGCAGCCGGAAAAATCCTTATAAAATGCAGATCTGTTGATCAATTCCCTGCTTAATGTCTCCCATGGCTCCTCATCGCCTCAGATGATAATAATAACAGCTGAGGCTCAGCGAAAACTTACCGTGTGCTTGGCACTGTTCTCAACACTGCGTGTATTCCCTCATCTAATCCTCCCATGAAATAGGTTCTATTATTACCCTCCTTTTACAGATGAATACCACCCGAAGTTCTCAGCATAGCGCATCATATCCTCCAGGTTTTGGCGCCAGCCTGTTACTCTCCACGGGTCAGCGAGCACTGCTTCCGTGAGACGCCAGCACAGCCCACCCCTAGCCTGCTTGCCTTGGTGCTGTTGGCCTGCCGACCTTCTCCGCACACCTGCATGTTTAACCCCAGGGCATGAAGTCACATTCAGTGTCTCTCATCTGTCTGCACTCGTCTCTCCGCTGGCTGAGCTCCCTGTGGGCACTTGCCTCCACACCCCCAACACCCAGCACAGGCCAAGTGCCCGACGATGCCAGCTGAACGACTGACTGACCGTTAAAGGTAACACAGCTATGGGATCCTGGCTGCAGGAAAGCTCTCGGCAGGCCAGGTGGCCTCCAGGAGGCTTCCTGGAGGAGGAGGCTGTGGTGAGGAAAGCGCAGACTGGAGCAGAGAAGCAGCAGAAGGTGGACGGGGGACACTGAGTCTGGACAGTGAGCCGCAGAGCCCCACGGGAGGAAGGGCGGCGTGGGACGTGGGACTGGATGAGTGTGGGTGGGAGACCAGGCCAGGTAAGGGGCTGGAGGCAGGGAGCCCGCCTTAGCGGCTCCGTCCCCCCCATGGCGGGCCTGTGCAGAGCAGGCCCCCAGTGGGTGCTCTGCAGGGAGAAGCCGCACGCCTCCCTCGCGGCACAGGTGATCATCAGTTCCCCGGCCAAGCTCAATTTCTTCCGCGGAAACCTGGCTCACAGCCCTTGAAGGGGAGCCCTGGTGCCTGCGATAGCAGCCCAGCTGAGGGTGGACATCTGACTGGAGCGGGGCGGGCTCACAGGCAGAGTGGAGCCAGCCCGTCAATCACCCATCCATCCACCCGTCATCCTGTGCCAGGGCTGCGCTGGGGGTGGGGCGGGGGGTTGGAGGGGCCAAGTGGGGCAGAGGCAGAAGATGCCTTAACAACACCTCCGCCCGTGCTCCTTAGAGGAGGCGGGGCTCTCCTTATCACCTCCTTGACACCCCTTTCACTAGCAAAGCGCCTCCCCAGCCGGGCGCCTGGAAGCCCTGACTCTGGGCAGGAGCAATGCTCTGAAGTCTGAGCCCCCAGCAAGTAGGGTCCAGGCCAGAGTGAAGGGAGTACCTGGAGGGCCCTGAGCAGGAGGGTTTGCGCAGCCCAAGTGGCAAGATTCAGGCCCCCCAGCTCCCCGTCTCTGTGATCTGTACTCTGAGAACACCCGTGAGCACATGCATGTGCAGGGTACAGGCTGCCAGACACATTCCACTACCCATCAGCTGTGTGACCTTGGGCAAGTCACTTCCCCTCTCTAAGCCTCAGCTTCCTCATCTGTAAGATGGGATAACACCAGTATCCGTTTCACAGGGTGTGGGGAGTGCAGAATGGTATGCAAAGTGCCTAGCCTAGAGCTGGCCCGCAGGAAGCTCTCCATAAATGCCAGCTGTTATTACTGACCTGTGTGTGTGTGTGTGTGTGCACGCGTGCGTGCAGGAAGCTCTCCATAAATGCCAGCTGTTATCACTGACCTTGGTGTGTGTGTGTGTGTGTGTGTGTGTGAGACAGAGAGAGGGAGAGAGAGAGAGACCTGTCTGCCTCTGTTAGCATCGGGCCATGTGACTGGGTGTCCTGACCTGAGACCTGAGGAGCTGAGTTCCCTGCTGGCCACTGCAGACCCCTCCAGTGTGTGTTCTGGAGAAGCCTGGAGCCCGAGGCAGGAAAGGAGCCCGTCTGGGGCCAGGCACATGGTGGGGGTGTGAAGCGGGGGTGAGGGGAAGTCTCACCTCGTATTCCTGGGAGAACTTGAGGCCGTCGTTGGCTTTGAGGCGCTCGATGTTGTCCGCCAGGTCGGTGATGGGGATGGGCGGGTGGTCTCGCATACCTGGAAGCAGGGCACACACAGGCAGAGTTAGCGTGAGGCCTGAGAGGGGTGGTGGAGACAGCCCCAATGCATGTATGTGCACATGTGGACACGTGTGGACCATGGAGCACTCGTCACTGGTGGCATGGAGACGGCGGCACATGCGGCGACAGGGATGGCGGGGCACACAGTGGCTGGGGATGGGGGTGGGAGAGGACTAAGGTGGAAGGGTGTGTGGTGTGAGCACGAGTGAGCATGTCCGTGTGACACGGTGCTGAGTGGCGGGTTCTCCAAAGGCATGGGAGGCCTCCCCCCTCCCAGGCCGGGGCCAGAAGCACAGGTGGAAGGCAGTGGACAGGATGGGGCTGGGCTGCTTCAGCCTGCATCCCGCCTGCGGGTCCTGCCTCTGGACAGCGCTCCTGCCCTCACTGGCGCCAGTCACCATGGGAGGCTGGGTGATGTCCCTGTCCCAGCACCCAGCATGTGGATGGAGTGATCACGATGTACATGGCAGAGACGTGGAAGAACTCGGAGGGAGAAGCAAAGGGGAGGAGGGAGATGTGGGGAAAGGGAGGCAGGGAGACAGGAGAGGAGTCGGACTGAGACGGGCAAGGGGTCGGACTGGACTGAGATGGGAGAGGGGACGGACTGAGACCAGAGGCGAGAGGCAGAGACAGACAGGGTGGCGGGAGGGAAAACAGGGCGGGAAGAAGGGGGCAAGGTGGGGAGAGAGAGGGATGGACAAAGAAAAGACGGGTCAGTGAGAAGGTGGAGAAAAGAGAGGAAAGGGGAGAGAAGAACTCAAGTAAGGAGGGAGGCGATGGGTGAGAGAAGTAGAGGAAACACACAGAAGCCAGAGTGGGCCCCAAACACGGGAACGCAAAAAACTAACTTGAGATATTCGGGCAACTGGGGACACTGGAACCTGCAGAGAAAAAGAACAAAAACAGCGGGGCAAGAGAAGGAAACCTGTTAACCTCCGGTTACACTGCTGCTGAACACAGTGCGGGGCTGGGGGCTCGCAGGGGCAGTCCCACCGCAGCCCCTTCTGCCCCCCGAGGAGCAGATGCATCTCCCACCCAGAGCCTGTGCGGTCTCAGGGGCCTCTTTCTATGATGGAAGTCTAGGTCCAAACCAACCCCGTGCCCTCTGGTATCAATTTTGACCCTGGCTATTTCCAGACCAACTGGCAAAAGGGAAGTGTGCTTTTAGAGAGAGATGAGGCATGTGTGGTGAGAAACAGAAGGGTGAGTCCACACGAGGATGTGCAGATGGGGACTGTATCACTCTTTCAGCTTTTCTGTGCGTCTGAAGCATTTTCAGAAGAAGAGTTAAATTATGAGAGAAAATAATAAACATTTGCTGAACGAAAAAAACGAGAAGGAAACCCTCAGCCGTGGACAGTGCTGCCATCGCCGCCACCCCTTCTGGTCACCGGTTCCCTCCCAGACCACCCCTGTGCACAAAGACACCTCTCCCCACCAGCAGTCCTGCTCCCTGATCTCCGCACCTCGGGTGACCCTCACTGTGCCCCCTTCCCACGGCCCGCCCGGGGCCACAGCCTCCTGTCCTTCCGGACTCCCATCCCTTTTAACACCACCTCTGACTTCCTGTGCTCCACCCCGCCTTCTCCTCTCAGATCCCTGCCCTTTCCCCCTGGTGCTGCAGCCACAAGGATTCAGACCCCAGCAGGGCCTTCACACCCACTTGCTCATTCCCCACTCGCTGTGCCTCAGCCCACTGAAATGCTCCTGCCCCCAGGACCCGCCCACCACACGCTCTCCAAGGTCCCAACTGCCAAAGCCAAAGGCCTCCGTCTGGGTCCTCCTTGCACAGCCCTCCCCACCTGGCCTCTGGGACACTCCTCTCCCCGAGTTCTCTCTCCCTCTGGCTCCTCCTCCTTGGCTATCCTTCACCCATCCTTCCTCAACATTTCATCTCCTTCCTTGGCTGCCCTTCGGCCACTCTCTTCCCCCGCCCCCTTTTCCTGGGAGAGCCCATCTATTTGCGGGCGTTGACCACTGTGTGCTCCTTGGCATACCCCACGCCCGTGGTTCCAGCCAGGATGTTGGTGCGGAGGTCTCCCTGGACCCTCCCACCCCAATGCTCAGCCAGCAACCACAGAGGCATCCTGGGACCCCCGCCCCCATTTCCTCACCCCACATGGAATCAAGCCTGAGCCCTGCTGCTTAGGTCTTGCTCATGTCTCCCCACTGCCACCCGCCTTGTCCAGGTCCTCAGCACCTTCTCAACAGCCTGCCTCCCCAAGTTCTCCCCTTCCAATCTGCCTTCCACATGGCAAACAGAGCTGTGTTTCTACAGCACAATTCTGACCCTGTTGCTGCCCTGATGAAAACCTTTAATGCCTCCCTGGAACCCTCAAGACAAAGTCCAAACCCCTTAGCCTGGCATGCAGGTCCCTCTGTGACCGGACCTCAGCCTAGCCCTCCAGACTCATCTCTGGGCTCTCAACATCCCCAGCTCCAGTGCCACAGGACACAGTGCCCGAGAGCTGCCTCCCCACATGCTGCTGCCACAGAAGGGAGTTCCCTCCGTTCCCTCCCACCCGCTATCTGCCCTAAGGCCCACACGGCTTGGCCTCCCTCTCAGAGGGGGCTTCTCGGCCCTCCAGGCCCCAGCATTCTGGAGCTTTGATTCCTTGAAGATCTGATCACATCTGGTTGCAACAGCCTCTGCTAAGTCAGCCTGGCTCTCTCTCTTTCAGGACACGTGCCCTTGGAACTCAGTCAGCATGTTGCCAGGGAGCCCAGGCCACAGAATGAGAGCCGAAAACCTCAGGTGAGCTCACAGCTGACTGCAGTGTCAACCACAAGACATGAGAATGAATGAGTCTCCAGAATTCCGGGGTCAGCAAACTTTTCTATAAAAGGCCAGCTAGCAAATATTTTTGTCTTTGTGGACATATGGTGTCTATCATACCTACTTAGCTCTACTTTGTAGTATGAAAACAGCCACAGACAATACATAAATGAATGGGTGTGGCTGCGTTCCAATAAAACTTTATTTGCAGAAACAGATGGTGGGCTGCATCTGGCCTCGGGCCATAGTTTGCTGACCCCTGATCTAAATGATTCTGGCTCCCAGCTTTTGAGTCTTCCGGCCGAGGGCCCAGACATTCTGGAATAGAGACAAGCTGCTCCTGCTACGCTCCCGTCTGAATTTCTGACTCATGAAGACGGTGACAATAGCACATAATTGTTGTTGTTTTCAGCCACGAAGTTTTGCGGTAATTTAACATGCAGCAATAAGCAGCTCGTGTACACACAAACCCTGTGTGTTGTAGTTCACTCATTCATTTAGCTGCCTTGTGTTTGTTTCACCGGTGCTCAACAAGAATCCACTGTGTGCACAACCCAAGGGATGGGAGAGGAAGAAGACAGTTCCTGGCTCCACAGAGCTCTGTCACTGAGGCAGTTCCAGCCCAGGGTGGGAGGTGTCATGATGGAAGCAGCATCTGGGAGCCGAGGAACGACCCTGCCCACAGGGAAGAGGTCTGAGCTGTGTCTGCTGGGGCATAGGGAGGGAGTGACAGCTCAGGTAGAAGGAGCAGCCAGAGAGCCCCGTAACAGTGGCGGGGAAGGAAAGGCAGGCACCAAGCCCTGTGCGGGGTCTCTGTACTCGCACAGAATATCTGGGGCCAGCCACCAGGAAGGGCCAGATGTGGGCGCCCCGTCCCGCCACAAGGGTCTGATGGGCCGTTTCCCACTAACAAACCTCTTGTGTGCAGGGGCCAGAGCACGGGTGCAGAGGCTGGCCACCCCGGGGCTGGGATGTGGCTCTGTGTGGGTCCCGGGCCCATACTTGGAGGGCGTGACCAAAGACGAGGTCGGGTCTGAGCAGCTAGCTGCCCCCCACCCCCAGAGGCTCCCGGGCCCTGGGGTGCCTGTCCAGCTCTTGATATAGGGGTTCCTCGGTCACTTCATCAAAGTGGATGGGTACAGGGAGAAGGGCAGAAGGAACAGGAAATGGGGGCCAGGGTGAGGCCAGGGTCCCTCGGCGGAGACCGGCAGGCCTGGGTGTGGTGGGCAGGCAGGCTGGGGGAGCCACCCTACCTGGGGTCTGGTAGTTGAGCCGCCGCATCTCCACGGGGTCGGAGGAGTGGGCCAGCAAGGAGTCCTTCAGCCCAATTGACTGCTCATCCTTGGACGATGGGGAGTGGGTCCTTTTCCTGGAGAGGCGGAAGGGCGGTTGATGAGAACTGAGGTCCAGGTGGAGAACAGAGATGCATGGCATAGCCCGCTACCACAGAGGCCCTGTGTCTACGGCCCTGCTCCTGCCACCCCAGCCTGGGGTCTCTGAGTGCAGGGGAGCCAGGGCCAGAGCAGCTTCACATGAGAGGACACAGGGTGGAGGGTGCGGAGACAGCGGGAATAGAGGGTGGACAGAGGGCCAGCCCAGCAAGAAAGGAAGGGACCGCAGAGGCTGGTGGCTCCTTCCCGTAAAGGGCAGGTCACTGCCGGGCAGTGGCTGTTGTCTGCAAGGGCCCCACAGCTGAGGCAGCAGGAGCCACCAGGAGGAAACATGCAAACGACACCTAAGATATGCAAATATCACAGAGAGCTTGGGCCTCAGCTATCTGGCTCTGGGTACAAGGGTAGAGGTGCAGAGCAGCAGGGGAGGGACGGGGAAGACGTCCCCCTAGCTGGACAGAGTCCTCCCTTGCTGGCCTCGGCTCCCCAGGCTACAGGGACAGGATGAGAGACAGACTGCAATGTCCAGCTGCTGACAAGTATCCAGGGGCCGTTTCTGCTCGGTGGACACAGGTGTGCTTGGGGAATAAACTTACGCGAGTGTGCATGAGTGTGCAGCACACACTTCCCCGCTGCCCTGCAGCCAGTGCTCTTTGCACATAGGCCAGACTCTGTCCCCTGTGGCGCTCAGGTAACCTCAGAGACCTGGGAGCCTGGGGGAAGGCTCTGGTGAGCTCAGTCTGTGCCCGCAGGGGAGGTGCTGGAGGTCTGTGCTTCGCCTGTGCCCGGAAAAGGGGCATCCCCTGTGCAGAGCACCAGTCGAGAGACTGACAGAGCCTGTCCCATCGCCTGCCAAGCTGACCAGACAGCCGCAGGCCAGGAGGCTTCCGGCCCAAGCAGCGCCCCTCCCTGCTAGGCCCGCAGTGTGCGTGGGGATAAGAAGTGAAGGGGGAAGCATGTGAAGAGAGAAGGAAGGACTCCTACCTTTCTTGTTTACTAGGTCCCGAAAGACAGGCAAGGACAGAAGAAAGGAACGGTCACTGTTTCCGCCAAGCACTCAGACCCTCTCACGACATGGGGGACACTGCGGACCCATCTATGGCACCCACGTGGCATTCACGGGGAGGGGTCGCCTCTCCCGGCAGACACCAGGACCCAGAGGCAGTGGGGGGAGGATGAATGGGTGTGTGGAACCCTCCTCAGGTTCCCCACCCATGGGTCTCCAGGCCCTGAACCAGGCGAGACTGTCCCTATTCACCCTGGGAGGAAGGAGCTAACTTCAGGAAGGAGGCACCAGGTCCAGGTCAAGGGTCGGGGTCAGGGGCAGGGAGAGATGGGGCACTGGGGACAGGAATTCGTGTGTGAACACGTTCAGACATACGGACCAACAAGCGTTCACAGACAGCCTTGCGCTGGGTGCTGGAAACAGGCCCGGCGACGTTCCCGTGGAAGCACTACTGGACAGCGGGGGACAGTGTGGTGAAGGGGTAATAGGAGGGGCCCGGCAGAGCCTCGTGGGCACCAGAGCCTGGAAAGGAGTCTTGAAGGATGAGATGGCAGTTGCCCGGGCAGGGGGAAGGAGAGCTGCAGAGCGGAGGGGCTCAGCCCGGGCTGGCCGGGAACTGCACTGGTTCAGTGACGACGTCGGGGTGTCGGCAGGGGCCAGACCGACCAGGCATTTGATGGACCTCAGGCTACAGACATTGGGCTATAAAACTCTTTAGTTAAAACTGAGAAGTGTTAAGCTGAGGGTGACAAAGTAAATCTTTGGAAACACCTTTCAGGCTGGGAGGAGGATGGAGAGGAGGGGAGACTCTGAGATCAGGAGGCCGCAGCTACCCGAGGGAGGACTGCGGCATGCCGTGTGCACGTGCATTACCTTGTGGGGAGCCCATGGTGGGGAGAGGGGGGAGCAGGTCCAGTGATATCCAGGGCAGGACTCACGGGAGACTGGGTGGAGGGAGAGGGAGGAGGGGAGAGGGTGATACTCAGGTTTCCGGTTGGTAACTTGGTGGATGGGCCCGTCCCCTGTGATAGGGACCCTGGGTGAGGGCTATGGGAAGGGTCAAGACACCCTGAGTCTGGGACAGCTGCAGATGCTATGGTCACAGCAGGCACTGAATAAACGTCTGCCAAGTGAATGTCCACGGGCACACGGCCCTGGAGCTGGGTCTGGACCTCTCAAGGCCTGAGCAGGAGAGCCAGGCAGGAAGTCATCTAGGGATGGTGGCAGAGGGGCTGCTGAAGGGAGGAGACCAGCAGAAGGCCGTGTCTTGAAGCTGAGAGACAGACAGGCTCACATCCACTGAGAACACAGAGACGGACACACAGACATGCCCGGGGATGCACGTGAACAAGCCCCCTGTGAAGCTGCGGCTGCTCATCACACCTGGGCCACACCCATGGGCGTGCACACGCACTGCTCCTGCTCTCCTGGCTTCCCACCGAGCCCAGGGGTGCACCCTGGGGCGCAGGCCAGTGTGGCTGCCCCAGGCCTGTATGCACCTGGCCAGGGAGCACCTGAGAGTCCAAGTGGCCGTCCACCGGAGCACTCACCTCTTGAACAGGAGAATGGCGATGACAATGAGGATGATGAGGATGACTGCCAGGACGGGGCCCGTCACCCACAGCATCTCAGGCTCCTCCTGCTGCTGGGCTGGTGTCACCTGGACCACGATCTCGTCGGAGTAGGGGCTGGAGGCATAGCGCTTCTGTGGCCCAGTGGAGGAAAAGCACAGGTGGTGAGCCCGGGTGAGCTCTCCCACCCTCTGCCCCGCCAACCTGGAGAATGGGCTCTGGGCCTGGTCTCCCAGAACTAAGAGGCTGACCTGGGCCTAGTCAGCTGACTGGGACCCTAGGGCTAGGTCGGGTCTGGTGTTCTGGGTCCTAGGGGTTAGTGCCTTGAGACCCCAGTGCAGGTATGGGGCCTCTGGGGTGTTTGAGACTGGCCTGAGGGGGGTGTGGTCAGGCCTTGGGCCTTAGGCAGACCTGGTCCACGGGTTCCTTCAGGGAGGCAAGCACAAAGCACTGGTAGCTCAGGTCTGGAGACAGCGGCCGGTTGTAGAAGCCCCGGTAGCTCTTCTTGTCCCCCAGGGTGAAGGTCTCAGGGAGCACGTCCACTTGAGCGGCCACGTATGGCTTCAGCCGCTCTGCCTGCCGCCGCTGCCGCAGCTCCCCACCGCCCTGCTCGATGGCCTCCAGAAGCTGACAGAGCAGAGGACGGGAGTCACGCAGGGGCCCTGAAGCACATGGTCCTGGGCCCGGGGCCTGGGACATACGCCTCCTGGGATGAGGTTAGGCTCACCTTCCACGTAAGGGGCTCAAGCCTGGCCTGACTCAGTGTCCTCGTAGAATCATGCTGAATGCCAGACAAGGCAATGCCACTCCTCCTAGCCAACCCGATAAGAAGGGGCCCTCTGGGTAACCTGCCCCAGCCTAACCAGAGAGGGCTGGCTGCACACCACTGTGAGAAGAGGATGGCAGATTCCAAACGTGCTGGGGCTCCACTCTAGCCCCTCTGCAGCCTCCAGACCCTGCGGACTCCGAAGCTTACAGAGGCCAGGATTCTCTACATCTGAGAAATGTCTCTGCCACTTCCCACCCCAGGGGATCCTCCTCAAACCCCTTTGGGGGAAGTCTCTGTAAGCCCTCCAGTTCTCTGAAAGTGCCCAGGGGCCAGCTCAGCGTCTGTCTCCCTAGAGATGAGGGCAGTCTGCCAATCAGAGAGTGACTCCAGTTTGGGGGGGGGGGCGGTCCCTGGGGCCACAGCCAACCACCTCAATGGGACTGTCATCAGTGCTACCCTTTCTGGTCCCCAGGCACCTCATCCAGTTCCAGCTCCTCAGGCGTGCTCCATCGCGGTGCCAGCATGCTCCCTCCTACACGGTCAATGGGCACCACCATGATGTAGAACCACCTGGGTGGGCAGAGGAGGGGAATAAGGACCGTCATCGCCTGTGATCGCGTGGCCAGCCCCGCCTTCCTCCCCTGAGGCCTCGTTTGCACACCTGACGAGCGAGGGGTCCTGCACGTGGGGCATGGAGAGAGTGAAGCGGCCATCGGCTATGTAGGCAGAGGCAGGCAGCGGCTTGTGCGGCAGGAGGTCGGGGGCTGTGCGAATGGACACGAGGTGCTGCAGGCCCCCCGCACTGCTGCCACGGTTCATCAGCACGAACGAGTACTCTGTGTTCGGCTGCAGGTCTGCGATCAGCTTCCGCATAGAGTGCCCATCCACCTCCACACTCTGCCCATTGTACAGAATCTGTGCGGGACGGGGGCAGGCAGCACGTTCGAGTGAGGCTTCCCATCATGGGTCTGTGGGGCAGAGCACGCGCCCACGCCCAACCGGGATCCGGCATGACAAACACACATGCAGAGGCTGGGACTGCAATGAGGGACTGCAGGAGTGTGTGTGTGCCAGGTGCAGCTGACTTCACCCACCTTGAAGGGTACAGCTGACTTGTAGGAGTCAGGGACCTCCCAGCTGAGCAGCACAGATGTCTTCATTGCAGCCTCCACACGGAAGTTCTTGGCAAACACTGTTGGGATATAAGGAGGGAGTCAGCTCTGGCTGCGTAGCTGGGGTGAATGGGCCTGAAGGTTTCCCTGCCAGGAAGAGACATGGCGCGGGGGCCCAGGGGGTTAGGAAAGGCTGCAGAGGACCAGGCACCCCCCACTCCCGCCAGCTTCAACTGCACACAGTTCAGCTCCCAGCCCCGGCTCTTCCTCGCAGTGAGTACCAAGCGGGGCAGATGCCACAGGACCCGTGGTCAGGATCTCCAGAAGTGCTTGGGTGAAGCTGGAGCTTACAGACACAGGTCAGAGTGACCACAGGTCAGTGGGACTCAGTCAGGAGAAGCACGTGGCCGCACACCAGAGCACAGTGGGCTGTGTTCACTAGAGGTCAGGGGGTCGTGGCCCCAAGAGATTAGTGTTGCATACCCAAGAGTGGTGATGCAGTCAAAAGATATCAGTGGGTCAAGGTCACGAGAGACTGGAGAGTCACACAGCAGAGGTCAGTAGGTCAAGGACAGCAGAGGTCAGGGGTCACACACCAAGAATGTGGCACCCTTTCACTAGAGGTTAGTGGTCATGGACATGAGAGATTGGAGTGTCACACACCAGAGGTTGGTGGATCACAGTTGCCAGAGGTCAGTGGGTCAAGGAGAGCAGAGGTCCCCAGGCGCAGCCACGTGCCCGCAGCACACACCTTGCTCCATGGGCATGGTCCGGGACTGGATGCTGGGGCTGAGCGGGCCGGCGCCTTTGCTGGTGCGTGCACGGACCTTGACATCATAAGTGGTGTCTGGTTTGAGGCCGGATAGCGTCAGGTGGGTGTCGGCTGTGACGTTCCGCAGCTCCTGCTGGCTGTTGATGTCACGGTACACCACGGTATAGTTGGTGATGCGCCCGTTCCTCTCCGCCAGCACCGGGGGGTCCCAGGTCAGTTCCGTGGTAGATGTGGTCAGCCCTATCACGCGCAGGTTTTGGGGGAAACCGCTGGGAGCATCCTCAGGGGTCGTGATCTCCTTCTCAAACTCCTCGCCCGGGCCGGCCCGGTTCTTGGCAGCAAGCCGGAAGATGTAGGTGGCCCCTCTGTGCAGGCCAGTGACCGTAAAGTGCTGGTCGTCCTTGCCAAAATCGATGGTGTTGGGCCGCGCCTCGTCGGCCCGGTGGTACTGCAGCCGGTAGCCCAGCAGCTCCCCAGGCAGCTCCTTGGGTGGGTGCCACTGGAGCAGCGCGGTGTTCATGGCCGTGGTGCTGACCATCATGGTGGGCCGGCCTGGGACTGAACAACCACGCACTGGGCTCTGGCCCTGCCCCCCTCCTTGGGCCCCCCCCCACCCAGCTCCGTCCCCAACCCCTCACTCACCTGCTCCCGTGGTCGTGACAATTTTGGGCTTGCTGCGGGCACCGTCCCCCTTGGTGGTGTAGGCGGCAACAGTAATGGAGTAGGTGGTCTCCGGGGTCAGGCCGCTGATGGTGGTTTCCTAAGGCAGGAGGAAGGGCCCATTCCCATCACAGGAGAGCAAGGAGGGACCAGAGCAGGCCAGCCACCTCAGGACGTTAGCTGGTGGGGCCCTCCAGGGCACACAGGGCCAGAGGTCCCCGGAGAGGGGGCTGTGAGCTGCTGGACTCTGAAGAAAGCAGGACAGGCAGGTGGATGTGTGCCCAGGAGGACCCAGCCCATTCCGGGAGAAGCAAGCCTAAGGCAGACAGTCTGCTCATCCTTCCTTTCAGACAAGAACAAAGTGCCACACTGTTCCTTCACTCCATTGTACTATGAATGACACCTCGTGAGGTCTGGGCGCATGTGACACACAGAGCACACAGCCTCGCATGCACAGAGCACCTTGTGTGGCTCTTGGCACACACATGCATGCAGCCTACGGCTCCTCCTGCACCAGCAGGCGGAGGGCCACCTGTAGATACTAACGCATGTGCACACACACCACAGAGCGAGGTGGAGGGGTGGGCCAGGGCGCCACCCTGAAGGACCAAGTCGGGACCCCTCCTGTTCCCCTCTAGGCACTGGCTCTGTGAGCACCTTATACCCTGCAATGCTTCCTGAGCCAGGGAGAAGAGACGAGGAGGACAGAGAAACCCCACCCTGGGGAGCGCACTGTCCCCAGCGATGCCTGAGAAGTCAGCCAGGGCAGCGTCCCCCTGCCTTGGCAGGCCTTGCCCACACGCCCATCTCCAGCCAAGGCATCATTTCTGGACATGCCGAGAAACACCACGGGAGGCCAAGCCACACCACACAGAGGGAAAAGTGGGAAAAAGGGAGGGGACCACCGCGCAGTGGGAACAGAGCTGTCACCGCCAACCCTGGTGTCCCTCCAGCTCTGAGCCTCGGGTGGGGCCACTGCAGCTGCCACCAACCTCTCGCAGGTCCCCTCCTGCCCTGGCTGGAGGGTCTCCCAGGGCTGGGGCTCCGGAAGACACCGATGCTGGGACCCGGCCCCCAGACTCCCTTCCCAGCCTGGGCCTGGAGCAGGTGATTTTTCACTCCGGGGATCAATAAGGCCTAACGATCAAGATCGGATTTAACTCCATCTCCATCTGGCTAGAGCAGGGGCCAGGCCCTGGTCGATTTTTTTTTTTTTTGCGGTACGCGGGCCTCTCACTGTTGTGGCCTCTCCCGTTGCGGAGCACAGGCTCCGGAGGCGCAGGCTCAGTGGCCATGGCTCACAGGCCTAGCCGCTCCGCGGCATGTGGGATCTTCCCAGACCGGGGCATGAACCCGTGTGCCCTGCATCGGCAGGTGGACTCTGAACCACTGCGCCACCAGGGAAGCCCCCTGGTCGATCTTGAACACAGGCCTGAAATTGCCACTCGACAGGTGAGAAGTAAGGATTAGAGGAAATGCCAATCACTGCTCAGCTCAGGGCTCGTGCCTAAGCGCCAGTTTTCTCTGGACGTGGCTGGTGCCCTGTGGATCTTGGCGGCTCGGGCTGGGAGGAAAGGCGGGGGAGGGGGAGTGTCCCATGAGCCCAGCCTGACCCAGGTCTTGCCCGCGCTCGCACACCTCTTACTTACATAGTCCTCGGACTCCTCTGGCCGCCACTGACCGCGGGAGAGGGAGAGAAAGGGAGACAGGATGTGAAGGACTCTGGCTCTGATGGGGGCCTGGCCAGGGAGGGCAGATGGCGGGCACGGGCCTCTGAAGTGCCCTGGTGGGTGGCAACCCAGGACCACTCCCCATCCAAAGATCCCAGCCCCTGCCTCACGAGCCCAAATGTGTGTGAGCCCAACTGTGGGCACTAGGGCTGAGGAGGTGAGACCTGGAGAGCGGAGGGCCAGAGCCAGAGGGATCCCTGACACTGAGGGGTCGGAGGGCGCCACCTGGAGGTACTTCGAGGGAAAGGCTGACAGACTTGAGGGGTGGGCTCCACAGCTCAGGCAGAGGGGACAGAAGACGCCGAGGGCAGTACACCTGTTTTGCCGGGGCCAGTCCTGGCCTAGGCTTGCCAACCTGGTATGATTATTCACAATGTCTCCTCTCACTCTCAAAAGTATCCCAGTTGGGAAGACAGATTAGCCAGTGGCCCTAGGCAAGGAGGGTTGCCCTAGGAACAGCAGGAGCTATACTGTGGCTGGAAGGGGCCCAGGCAGGATGGCCAGCAAGATGATAAGGGCCGTGAGTGCCAAGCTCAGAGCCTGGACCCTGCCCCACAGGCAAAGGGGAAGCCCTCAGACCCCTGTTCCTTCCCGGGATGCCTGAAAATCAAGGTAGGAAGGCGTATTTCTGGGCTGGCACTGCTGCTTATTCTTGGTACATTCTTCTTCAGGCCAGGATGCATGTAGGTTTACTAGCTGGACAGGTAGAGGGAAGGAGGTTCTGTGGCACTGGAGGGCTGGCGGCTGGCAGCTGTCCAGCACAGCACAGGGAGATGGTCCACGCCGTCCCCAGGATAGACGTGCCATGGGGTCCTCCGGCCCAGCGACCCTCGCAGTGCTGGTCTGGTCTCTGTCCAACGGCCCCAGTGCCTCTGTTCTGGGAAGCTCTCTTGTAAAGTCCTTGCGAGCAGTGTGGGACAAGATACGGGAGGAGGCTATCAACTGTCCCTCCTGGCCACGGCCACTTTCTAGGGTGTGGCTGGGCCCGGCGCTGCTCTAGGTTCCTTGCCTGGGGTATCCTGAGATGTCCAAGCCAGGCCTGGGAATGGAGGTGCTCACGAGGAGCAGAGTGAGAGAGAAGAACGGAAAGACAGAGGCTGAAGCAAAACAGAGGGAGAGAGGATGGAAGGGATTAGAGGACAGGAAAGAGAAGAGAACGAGACAGACAAGAACACTCTCAGGGAGAAGGAGAGACAGAAAGAGAGGAAGGAAAAACAGACCATGGGAAAGGGACAAAATGAACGGATAAAGAAGATGTGGCACATACACACAATGGAGTATTACTCAGCCATATAAAGAAACGAAATTGAGTTATCTGTAGTGAGGTGGATGGACCTAGAGTCTGTCATACAGAGTGAAGTAAGTCAGAAAGAGAAAAACAAATACCGTACGCTAATGCATATATATGGAATCTAAAAAAAAAATGGTACGGATGAACCTAGTGGCAGGGCAGGAATAAAGATGTAGACATAAATAATGGACTTGAGGACATGGGGTTGGGGGGAAGGAAGACCTGGGGTGAAGTGAGAGAGTGGCATGGACATATATACACTACCAAACGTAAAACAGATAGCTAGTGGGAAGCAGCCACACAGCACAGGGAGATCAGCTCGGTGGTTTGTGTCCACCTAGAGGGGTGGGATAGGGAGGGTGTGAGGGAGGCTCAAGAGGGAGGGGATATGGGGATATATGTACGCATACGGCTGATTCACTTTGTTGTACAACAGAAACTAACACAGCGTTGTGAAGCAACTAAACTCCAATAAAGATGTATTAAAAAAAGAAAAAGGAGATGGGAGGTGGAGTCAGAGACCTGGAGAAACAGACAAACTTGAGATGGAGACACACATGAAAGGAGACAGGTCTGGCCACACAGCGGTGGAGGGCACGCCCCCCATGGTTCTTTCAGAACTGACAGGGCCTGGACTGAGCAGATGGTGCTGTGGGGAAGGACAGGCCGTGGTGTCCTTGACCAGGTGCTCGGGGGACAGCTGGGCCCTCTTCTCCTAGCCTGGAGCAGAACAATCCACTCCCGGCGGGGCTGCAAGGGCAGCCCCTCCGCCTTCACTCGGCTTCCCTGGAGCCCGGGCTCATGTTTACCTCCTGTCACAGGTTGTCTGTGGCCAAGAGGACAGTGTCCCTCATCCTATGGCCCAGCTCCCTCCAAACCACTTAGGACCAGAAGGGGGCACCCGAAGTGAAGTGGCTTCTTTGGAACCCCACTGGCTGCAGCTGTGCTGCTGGCCCCCTGGGGCAGGAGGGGCCAGAGGGAGCTCATTCCCAGGATGTTTCTGGGTGGGTGTGTCCGCTGAGACTCCAGGAAGAGCCCTCAGCCTGCCCCAGGAATGCAGGAGGGTCCAAAAGCCCACACTCTCCACCCCATTCCCTCAGTACCAGGCAGGCCAGAGGAGGAAGAGGGCGCCCTCTGGGCAGTGGGCTGAGCCCAGCCAGAGAGACAAAGGCCGTCATCTGCCTGTGGGTAAGTTCACCTCTAAGCGCAGCGCGTAGAACACAGGACACGTGCTTGCACCTATCCTGGACAGGCGGGGGAATCGGGCTCTACCCCGCCGCGGCCCCGATTTTGGATGGAAAGCCCCTGAGCACAGACACACCAGGCATTGTGAATCGTCAGCAGAATATTTTGGGAGGTAACTCGTGGTAGCGATTACAGCCCTTTCCCAGGAATCCTGCGACCAGGCTTCTTATCTGAGCTCGGCCACCCCTTACTGGGAAATTCAGGCCCCCTCGCCTAACCTCCCAGTACCCCAGGTTTTCCATCTGGGTAGCCAACCAGTGCTGAGAATAGCCCAAGGACTTCACCCCAAGCTCACGGGCAAAATCATCCTCCTCTGAGGACAAAGGGCACAGAGTGAGGTCTGGCACTGGGCGCAGGCCCAGCCCTTGAGAGCAAACCTCAGGGGCTGTGCCACCCCCCTGCGTGCCACGCACAGAGCAACACCCCAGCCCGGCCATTCACAGAACTCTGCAATGCCAAGGGCCAAGTCGGGGGAGATGACCACCTGGCTGGGGGAGGAGGGCTGCCGAGGAGGAAAGCACATCTCGACAGCCCAGCCTGACAGCGAATGCACTTTCCGAAAACCACAAAGGAGGGCTTGAGGGGGCTGAGGCCTGGGCCTGTGCGGACAGTGCTCCTCACTGCTAGTGCTGGTGGCTGAACCACAGAGGTGACTGCCAGGCTGGGACTGTCACCAGGGCAGATGGGGCTGGCCGAGCCTGGACTGGCACAGCTCAGGCAGACCTAAGACAAGAGGAGGGAGTGTTCCTGGCACCTGGCCCTAACCTCCTGGTCTCAGCGCTTTCCTAGCCCGATACAGCAGGATGTCTTGGTGTCACAGTCCCTCTGAGAGCAGGTCGGGGAGGGGAGCAAACCTGGGTTCCAAAGAGGAAATGGAATATGCTGGTCTCGCCCACCCGCCCACCTCCCAGTGTCACACCTGGGCCTCGGCCAGCATGACGTCCTGGATGATGGGTGGGCCGCGGGGCTCGCCATTCTCTAGCCGCACATAGGTGACCTGGTAGCCGCGGATCTGACCGTGCTGCTTGCTGGGGACGGGCAGCTTCCAGGAGACGCGCACGGCAGTGGAGTTCAGCGGCTCCACCTCCACCTTCCGTGGCGGCCCGCTGGGCACTGGGGACCAGGTGGAGAAGGAAGTTAGGTGCGTGGTATGGATCCGGGCACAGCATGCCCCAGGGCCTTGCCTTCGCACCCCACTGCCCCAGGAAAGGCCCTGATGCGGTTTCCTTAGACTGTCTGCCCTGGAGAGGAATGTGGAGGGCTCCCTCTGCCTGGCATGGGGAAGAGCCCAGGACCCTGCGACCCCTCTGGCCCAGGGCTGCCTCATTTGGTGGGGAGGGCAGAGGTGGGGAACAGGTGGAGGCGGGGCACCAGGCCTTCGACCAACCCAAGTCAGCACAACCTGGCCTATCTCCTGGGCCCCACATCACGCCAACGTCTAGAGAGGCAGAGCCTCAGTGACTCTCCTGAGTGATTCTACTAGCCTCCCCAGTCCTCCTCCTTTCAAACCTTGGGTGGGCTGCCTCTTCGGCCTTAGCCTTTTAAGGCTCCAGCTGCCTTGAGGAAGCCCCGCAGCTGGGATTTGGGCACAGGCTGTCCCACAAGCTACATCTCCCCACTTGGGGCCATTAAGCCTGCACTGGGAAGACAGCAAGTCCTTCTGGGCTTGCAGGAGGCCAAGGCCCTGGGAGCCCGGTGTGGGGGTCCAGCGGCACGGCGGCCCCCGCCCCCGCCTGCCCTCGGCGCTGCCTACCGTCCTCATCGGTGCGCACCAGCACCGGGCTGCTCTCGGGGCCGGGGCCCACGTCCGTGTGCGCCCGCACCCACACCCGGTACTCCGTCCACTTCTCCAGGCCCACCAGGTCCCAGCTGGAGTGCTCGCGGCCGATGCCGTCCACCACGTGCCGCTCGCGGTCCTCGCCTTCCACCGCCTCGTAGGCCACCGAGTACTGGGTGATAACGCCGTTGCGGCTGTCGGCTGGCGGTGGGACCCAACTTACCCGGACCGTGGTGGAGCCCACGCTCACGCACGTCACCTTCTGGGGAGGGGCGGAGGGGGCTGGGAAAGACAAATGGGGGGAAGCAGGCAGATGGAGGGTGGGGGTCAGAGACATGGCGACCAGTCACAGAGGATGGGAAACTCACCCAGGCAGGCTACTCCCCAGGTGCATCATGGCTATCCCAGGGCCCCTCCAGGCAGGCTACTGCCACTGCCGCCAGACAGCCCGGCTCCCTCTGGACTATAGGCTCTCCCTCTCTCTCTCTCTCTCTCTCTCTCACACACACACACACTCTCTCACACACACACACACACACACACACACACGCACACACAGCTCTAACACAGCGCCTCACACACATACACTGTCTCACACACAGCGCACAGGGCATCAGACACACACAAGCACGGGGCCATGCCACCCTCACTCCTGGTCACACCCACAACCACACACGGAGACCCTCCCCAGCTGCTGTGCTCACAGCTCTTGCTCTTCCCAGGACAAGTGACCTGATGGCTCTTCTGGTGTGAGGCTGCCTCGACAGGGTGTCTGCGGCTGAGCCACAGGAAACCGCAGAGACTGGAGGCCCCCAGGCAGTTTGGAGGGAAAGTGCCCATCGGAGAGGCTCTCACTCATCAGGCTCCTTGGGTGTTAGGAGGTGGGTCTGTGCCCTCCTCGTTCCCAGTGATGTTTCCGGCTCCTATTCCCACTGAGGACTCTGCTGCTATCACCTGGGCTTTCTCATCTGGAGTTCTGCCACCACCTCCTGCTCAGGTGACTCCAGCAGCCCCTCGATCCACTGGCTCCCAAGCCCCTCATCTTCAGAGCTTTCTCCTCCCCTGCGCTGCTGTGGTCCTGCCCCAGATGCTGCCACTCTCTCTAAAACTGTGGCCTCCAACACCCCCTCGCAGGCCCTCGCCTCTTGGCCCAGCTCAGCTGCTCAGGGCCCCCAGCACTGCACCTGCTCTTCACCCCCGGGGACCTCATCCATTGACCTACCTCCTTACTGCCCTCGATACTCAGCTTAGAACCTCACCACTCTTACCAACACCCCAAATTCCCTTCTCTGAGCTCCTGCCCAGCCTGTCCCAAGCTCAGAACGAACCCACCCCCCATCTCCTCCAATGTGGCATGGGGGTGGGTAGAAAAAGCCACCAAGGCAGGTTGGCACTCTGTGAGCGCCCCACGGCCTCCCCCGGGCCATCCATGCTGCCGGCCGGTCTCTGCTCTCTGCCCGGCTCCCTCTGCCACTTAATACAAAGTACCTTCCACCTCCTCCACGTTCCTCAAACCTCCGGCTCCTGTCGCCTCCCTTCCTCTCAGCAAATGACCCCATCTCCTACTTTGCAGAGAAAACCGAAGCCTCCCAATAGCAGCTCCTCCGTCTCTTGCTACCAAACCCACCAGCCTGCATCTGCTCCGAGTCTCCCCTTCCCTCCCCTGGGAAGGGAGAGGGGTGCCCTCCTGTCCAAGGCCAATCTCTCCCATCACCCGTGCTCTGCCCTCTTCCCCACCCCCTGAGCCTCCAACTGTCTTTCTCTTTTCCATATTTTTTACTTCTTCTCGTTGACACATTCCCAGCAGCATTAAATATGCTCAAGATTTCCCCATCTTAAAAGACACATCCCATCCTCAGCCCCAGAGCTTCCCCCCACCGACTGCACCAGCTACAGTGTTCTCAGTGCCCCCAGCTAAGCTCTCTGTCTCTTCTTTCTCACCTCTCATACACGCCTCGTGGAACTCCAATCAGCTTCGGCCCCTCATGCCAGGTCCACCCCTCCACATTACTAGACCTAGAGGACACGCCTGCGTCCCTCTGGCCCTGATCACTCAGCAGCAGCATCTGGTCTCCTTCTTGAAACCCTCTCCTTCCAACCTCCAAGACTCCCCTCTCCTGGATTTCCTCTCATCTCTGGTCCTCCTTCCCACAGCCCACCTCCAGCCCCGGGCCTGGATTCCAGCAGCCTGCCAAGCATCAGCACCTGGATGGCACACAGCATCCTGAGTTTGGGGGCCTTGGAACCACGTGCGCCCCTCGCACCTGCTTCTGTCCGTTTCCCGTCCCAGGGAGCGGCACCGCTCTCCTACCAAGTCTCCGCACCACGTACAAGGCTTCACCACAGGTGTGCCTCTCTCTCAGTCCCCCACACCTAACCCATCCCCAAGTCTGGCCAGCGGCATCCCAGAGAGCTTTCAGATCCACCCCGTCACCTCACCTGAGCCGTCGTCTCTTGCCTAGACTGAGGCACAACCTCTTCACTGGTCTCCGGTGTCCTGTCGGGCTGGCCCGTGCGTTTGCACGTGGTAGGGAGGCAGCCCTCCGCCCTGTCCTCTGTCCCCGAGGCCCTGAATGCTGTGGTCTGGCGGCTGCTCCAGCCACACCGGCCAGCTGCTCGTCCCTGACCACAACCAAGTGCCTTCCTGCTTCTTGGTCTTTTGCACCTGCTGACCCCCTGCATGGGGCCTCTGTGTCACCCAAGGAAGCCCTCCTCGACCCTTCAAATCAGATGAGGTTCCTGTCACATCATCTCTCCGCTGTCTCCTCTGCAGCACTTTACACAAATATAATTAAAAGCTCATTTGGATAACTGGGGGTTTAATATCTGTCTTCCCCACTAGACTAGGACCCCCTTGGGCAGAGGCTGTGTCAGGGTTGTGCTGCTGGCCCTGCAGTGTGCATGGGCCCCTAACAGGAGCATGGCTGGTGCTTATGGAATGAATCTATGAACATCAGGTCACACATGGCACATTCACACAGTCCCATGTGACATGGACAGCTTCAGAAGACCATCACATGTCATCACATGTGCTCACTGTCTCAATGCCGTGATCCCAACCAGCCACACACACATGGCCCCGTTATCACATACAGCGGCCCACTGTGGCCACGTGACCAGACAGCCTGTGGGCTCACGGTCTGTCACTGGGACAGCTGCAGAGACCCCAGACACCCCGAGACACACTCGCTGGATCCCAGTCCTAAGAACAGCCACATAGACCCGATCACAGTGACATACACGTTCAGGTGCTGCAGCTAGCTGCTCGAACGCGCACATACTCACGGCATCAGAGTCTCACTCACGCAGGAACACAGTAACACACCACGCCACAAAGTGGGCTCACACATGGCCTCACGGACAGTCCAACACACGGGTGGCCACACAGTACCAACGCGGGTCACACGGTCTCATCTGTCCTGTGTGCAGCTGGCTCAGTGTGATTGCGTGGCTCACACAGATTCTCATGGAGGCAGGGGGCAAGAGGTAGGAATATGGGTAACAGGGAGATGAGATGTGGGGATATGGGGAGGGAAGACGCCCACCAAAGCAGGTCTGGGACACAGTGAACACAGCGGTCCCTCCACTGAGGGTGGCCCAGGGGGCTAGTGTGACCAGCGCAGACCGGGTGGGAAGAGGAGACGAATCAGAGACATAGAACTTACCTGGGCGGGGGTGGGGCTGAGGGAGGGCAGGAGTCGTGCAGGGAGCAGCGAGGGCAGCAGCCGCCTGGATGCAGACTAGAGGGCACTTACCTGTCCCTCACTTGGGGTCCAGACTGAGCCCAGGGCCCAGCAGATCTGACCACCCACCTGGTCGAAGGGAAGGGGTATGTGTGTGTCCGTGTCCCGCCCAGCCGTAGCAGACAGTGGCCCCGGGAGACACTCACTGGATTGTGCTGTGCGAGCCTCAATGGTGGGGGTGAAGACGCCCACCCCCATCTCGGAGCGGGCAGCCAGCTGGAAGTGGTACAGGGTGTCGGGCTTCAGGTCCTCTACGGTGTAGGAGGAGGTGGGGTCGAAGGTCACCTTGTGCTGGAAGAGCAAGGAGCACTCACTGACTGCCCTGACCTGAAAGGTCACTCAGAGGTCACCCCCAACATGGGCTGAAGCTGATCCCTGGGGACCCACTGTGGCTGCAGGGCTGGCTCCCTGCCACGTGGCCACCTGGACCGCGCAAGGGCACCTCACCGACCACATGGCCATGGGAACACCAGGGACACGTGGCCCCAGGGAACCTTAGGGCTCTACTGGAGCCACATGAGCCACAGAGCCTAGGAGACCCAGGACAGACCTAGGGCCTTTGTCCCTGGCACAGGGGTGACAAAGACTACAGAACCACACAGGCCACATGGGCCCCAGAGCCTCAAGGGGCTGTGCCCACACAAACCACAGAAATCGAGAAGAGCCTGCATAGGTGAGCCCACCACAGATCGCCAAAGATCAGGCGGAGCCCTGCCACCTCTGGCCCTGCTGAGCGCTCACCTGCTGGCCCGCGTCCTCCGCCGCCCAGTACACCAGTTCGTACTTGATGATCCGCTCCTGCGGAGGCAGCAGCCACGAGAGCTGGATCCTGGTGTCGGAGTCCGCGTCGGCCTGGAAGTCCGCGGGCTGGGCGGGTACTGCAACACCCCGTGCCCGGCGCCGTCAGCCTCACCAGTCACCCCGAGGGCAGGGGCACCCAGGGGAAGGAGGCAGGGGAAGTCAGGGTCTCACCCCCATGCCCACCCCGCCTTCCCCAGTGGCCGTGTGGGCGGACACGGGCCCCAAGCTCATGGCTGAGGGAGGAGGCACCGCCCAGCCTTGCCCACCCCAGGTCTGCCCAGCCGGCCAGCGCCTACCTCCCTGCTGTGTCTTGACCTGGATGGTGGGGCTGGGGGGGCCGTCACCCACGGCGGTGAAGGCCAGCACACGCAGGCTGTAGGTGATGCCGGGCAGCAGGCTGCCCACGGTGGTGAGGAGCCCGGCATCCGTGTTGTGCTTGTGCCAGGCGCTCAGCGGGCGGCGGGAGTCGGGGGAATAGTAGACACGGTAGCCCCGCACCAGGCCGTTGGGCTCCTCAGGCGGCTCCCACTGCACCAGCATGGTGCTGGCGCTCAGCATTCGCGCCTGCACGCGGCGCGGGGGGCTGGAGGGCGCCTGCTCCCCCGTGCGCGCCCGCACGGCCTCGCTGGGGGGCCCGCGCCCGATGCTGTTCACCGCCAGCACGCGGAAGGCGTACTCCGAGAAGGGGCTGAGGCCGCCGATGCTGTAGCGGGTGGTGGCCACGCCATCCACCTCCTGGAAGGGGCCCTCCGCACCCGCTGGACGGTACTGGATGCCGTAGTAGGACACGGGGTCTGAGTTCCCAGAGTCCCAGGTCAGGGTGACACTGGTGGCAGTTGTCTCTGTCACCACAAGGTCAATCGGAGGCTTCGGCAGAGCTGGGGACAAAGTGGAAAGCTCAGGGCTTCCTGAGGTCATGATTCGAGGGGCCAACCCTGCCCTTGGGATTCATCCAGCCGGAGTGTGGTTGAGCCCCACAGCCCACCCTGAAGAATGGCCTGGAAGGCCCTTGGTGACCTCTGAGTTCACTTAGTGGGGGCTGGTGGCCTTACGGCATTCACTGTCTACCCAAGTCACTTCTAGGACTCCCTGGATCCTCACATCAGCCCTGGTAACTCATCTAACAAACAGACCTAGAGGGGGCCTGCCCGGGCCCCATGCAGATGGGAGGCACACAGGCTGGGGAGCAGAGATCTCTGCCTCTGCAGCATGTCTGGGCTGCTCCACTGGCAAGAATGTGTAACAGGGGCTGGGAGAGGGAAGATACTTCCTTAGGGAATGGCCCTGGATTTGAGAAAGAGTGACGGGCTACTGGCCCCACAGACCACGTGGCTTGGCTCAAACTGAAGGTGAGGTCCCAGGTCCACAGCCAATCACTCAGCAAATGATATTGAGTGCCGACTCTGTGCCAGGCACTGTGCTAGGGCTGAGGACACACTGTCACACAGTCACATCCCTGCTCTCGTGGGGTTTACACTCCAGCGTAAGAGAGAAACAATCAGTGAGTTGATAATCATGGTTCTGGTATGGGTAAGGACAGCAGAAAGCAAGGTGCCGACATGGAGAAAAATCCAGGGGTGTTCCTGGATGGGGTGATCGGGGAAAGCTTCACAGAACTGAGACCTGGAGAGCGAGATGGAGCCAGCGATGGCAAGGGAGGGGTGCGGGCACGGCGAAACAGGACTGTCAGCCTGCTCGGTTCATGGCAGTGAGGATCCTGGTCTTTATCCTAAAAGCAGCCGGAAGCCACTGGAAGGTGTTTCTCCCTTTCTTTAAAGGGGGTAACATGATCCTGCTTTTTTTACCTTTTGAAAAAGATGATTCCAGCTGCAGAACGGGGGTGTGTGTTGGAAGGGAGAGTGGAAGCAGGACACCCCAAGGAGTCTGCTCTACATGCGCCTGTCCCAGGGCTCCGGGCAGGGAGAACCCACCCTCCTTCTACTGTTTCCCATCCTTCTTGCCAGGAGGCTGGTAAAGCCGAGGGCCTGGTGCTATGTAGTGGTTAGAGTGGTGTGCGGTGGAATCAGACGCCCAGGGTTCAAGTCCCTGCTCCATCATTTACCTCCGTGTGACCCTGCACCTCAGTTTCCTACCTTAAAAAATAAAATCGGGACAATGAGAGCACCTATCTCCAAGCGTGACACCACCTGAACAAAATAATCTTTGCTTACTAACCAGCACAGCGTCTGCCCCCAGGGACCCAACACCTGTTAGCTATAATGATTAAGATAATTTCTGACAGAAACCCCTCCCTCCACCAACTAAGGGCCAGGAGGACCCCGAGGCCGGGCACCAGGAGAGCAACAACCCTCAGCCCTGCCTGTGCCTCGGCAGCCACACTCGCCTGCCACGTCCCCTGCTACAGGGAAGGCCACGGGCCACGGCAGGCATGCCAGTGGCACTCACCTTTCACGGTGACCTGGGCCGTGGCCTCAATCATGCCCAGCGAGGAGATGGCCACGCAGGTGTAGTTGGCAGAGCGCACCACGTTGCTGAGCTCCAGCACGTTGCGGCCGACTGGCATCTCATCCTCCTTGGTGAGCTCCTCGGCCCCCAACATCCACTTCACATAGGGCATGGGTGCACCCACGGCGACACACGTCAGGTTCACGCTGCCACCCGGCATCACCTCCTGGCTGCTGGGAGGGATGGAGAAACGAGGAGCCACGCGGCGTACTGCGGGAGGAGGGAGAGAGGCACTCACAGCCCGGGCAGGACACGTGGGGGGATGCAAGGGCAGGGGCCCCTCATCCAGGAAGCCCCTCTCATCAGAGCCAAGCCCACCTCAGAGACAGGAGGGGCGGAGTCCCTGGGTCCCGGCTGACCACCTCCCACCCCGCTCTCAGGGACTGTCTGAAACACGAGAGATTCTCCAACCAAGCTCCCATTTTACAGCCTAGGAAACTGAGGCCCAGGGTCACACAGGGACTCACTGCAAGGCCTTGTCAGGGCCACATCCCAGGTCGCCTTCCAGTGCCCGCCCCTACCTGCTCCTGACCCCTCAGGGGTCTCCAAAGGGGCTAGCTGGGGCACTAGTGAAAGAGATCCAGGCATCCCAGGGTGGAGGGTCCTCAGAGCATGACTGGGGCAGGGAAGAGGGTCAGCCTGGAAGTGACACGGCCACCCTCTCTTGAGCCACTGCCTCCACCTCCAGACCACGGTCCCAGGGGAAGAGATGAGGGCAGTGGCATGACCACCTGCCAGGACCTCAGCCATGCTCAAGGCACAGCCTGAGAACCCAGGAGTAGGGGCGGCCTCCAGGAGGGACTGGGCAGGGGTTTGGGTTCGGGGCGGGCCAGGGACGTGGTCCGCGGGCAGGATGGGCATGACGATGGCAGTAACATGATGAGGGTGCCAAGCAGACGGCCTTCAGCACCAATGAACGAGGATCTCAAGGGGGAGGGTGGCTGTGCCTGGCCACGACCTCCGGCCTTGGGCTCCCCGGGTCAGAAGCTGTTCTGAGCCTCTCAGTTCAAGGTGCAGCCTGGACCCCCCACCCCCCTGCCAAAGTCGCAAGCTCGGCACAGACTTTTGGAACATGCAGAGGGAGGGAAGGCAGGCAAGACCTAGCCGTGGGCAGGCATGCTCAGCATGCAGGCGGGGCATGCAGCTGGTGGGCAGAGGCTGGGGTGTGTCCTTCCTGGGCACCCCTACACATGGGGCTGGAGAAGGCAGGCAGCGAGCCTAAGAGGCCAGAGGGGACCACTCAGAGTGTGGGTCTCTGAGGGCCCTTGCTGGGGAGCCCAGGCATGCGAAGGACCCATGGTGCTACATCGAGAGCACCTCTACCACAAGTGCCAGACTGCTGCTCGCACGGCCCAAAAGCACAGAATCAGAGCTCGAAGTAACTGCAGACACTACCTCGTCCAACCTATGCCCTCGCTACACAGGGATCAAAGTGGCAGCCCACAGACCAGACATCCAGCAAATCACCAGGTCCTGCTAATGCACCACCTAAAATATCTTTCAAACGCTAATTTCTCTTCAAGTCCACAGGTGACTGCCACCTCCAAAGTCCAAGCCACCATCCTTCCCTGGATTGCTGTACCAGGTTCTCCTCTGCTCCTCCTGTCTTGCTGTCGCCCTCTGGGCCCCTGACCCCGTAACTGGCCCTCCACAAACAGCTGGCACAAATCCAAATCTGCTCATATCACCCCCATGTTAAAATCTCCCGCATGGAGTTTTAAAGGACTCCTCAGCCCAGACTACACCTTCCTCAGCCCCTGCCTCGACTCCAAGGCCTCCAGACAGAACCAAAGCACTGCCAGTGCCCCAGCGGGCCAGGCGTGACCACCACCAGGGGCTGCGTCTACCTCCCTCTGTGCCCCAGGCTCACTGGGCTCTCAGCGTGTCCCGTGGGTGTCTAGCATTCTGCCTCCCCCTAGAATCGGCATCCTCATCTTCGGAGAACCATCTCAGCCCCCACTCTCGGTTCTTGGGGTACACGACCCAGATCTGGCTAACGAGAAAGAGCCTTCGGACTGCTGTGAAAACTATTAGACGAAGGCCCAACCAAACCGTTCAAATATCTGGATCCAGGCCTGCCTGACACCATATCTGCTTCTACGCTTTTAGTTTTGTGAGACAAAGGTTTCCTTGTTGCGATTAAGCTGATAGTAGTGGGCTTCTGTCATCTGTCCTAAAGCTGGGAGTCTACACTGAATGACAACAGCACGTCACAGGTCTCTACCTGTGCTACAGTGCTGTGCAGCAGGGAACAGGTGGATCCCGGGTACATGGTTGGCAGGAAGAAGCCACGACAAAGAGCCTCCTTTGAGCACTCCCCGCAAACGGCGCAAGGGTGAGGCTGGGAGGCACGTACATGGTGCAGGCACTCCCTGGGCTCTGGCACTGAGCCTGGGGGGCAGGCCACGGAGGAGAGGCAGGCCTGCCGGTGAAGGCACAGCCCTGGCTCGAGCAGCAAGGCACAGCAGTCTTAACTGACTAAGTGAAGACCTCCTCTCAGCCAGTGGCTGCCCCGCCTCCTCCCTGTTCATAGGCATCCAAATGGGTTTGGGGGAAGGAAACCACTGTTGAGCACCTCCTATGTGCTGCAGGTTTCCACACTGTGGATGCTAGCACCTCCCAGTTACAGACGGGGGAACTGACTGAAGACTGACACTTCGGGGATGTGCCCGAGTTTATACACGTACTAGAGTAGGTCTGTGGGATGAAAAAGCTCACGCCCCTTTAAGACCCGGCTCACAGGGCTGAAAAGAGAGACCTAGGAGGCTCCACGAAGAAGCTTCTGGGTCAGCCAAGGCTGCCAGGAGAAGACACTTTCCAGTTGACATGAGGATGGGCCTTGAGCCTGTGTCAGGTCACAGCTGCAAGCCTGACTGTGGTCAGTGGCAGAATCTTGGGACCTGATCAGGTCCCTGGACATAAGAACAAAGAGCCCCAGGAGAAGGAAGTAGGTCCTTGGCCGATAAACCTTGGGTCCCAAGCTAAGCAGTGCAGGAAACTGACTGGGCTTTAACTCAAATAGTCCCGGAGAACAGGGTTTTCTGTGCTACTGCCAGGAAACGGAGGCCCTTTGGGAACTAACATCGAGAAGAGTTTTAATTTTATTTATTTATTTATTTATTACTTTATTTATTATTTATTTATTAATTTATTTGTTGTGGTACGCGGGCCTCTCACTGTTGTGGCCTCTCCCGTTGCGTACGGAGCACAGGCTCCGGACGCGCAGGCTCAGCGGCCATGGCTCAAGGGCCCACCCACTCGGCAGCATGTGGGATCTTCCTGGACCGGGGCACGAACCTGTGTCCCCTGCATCGGCAGGCAGACTCTCAACCACTGCGCCACCAGGGAAGCCCTGTTTTTATTTTAATTTTCCCCCTCCTAGATGCAGGTGGAAGAGAGAACCCAAAGGGCTAAGGTGAGAGGTCAGATGTGACCCTTGGGGTCATCCCTAGCACCACGCAAGGGCCTCAAGCCCAGGGACTCCTGGAAGGCACACCCTGGCAGGGTGCCACCCTTCATGCTTTCACAGGGATACACAGCCACACACGAGGAGCCTGGACGCGGTTTCCCACAGCTCAGACTCATCTTCCCCACGGTGTGAGGGAGGTCAGGGTAGGTCCACAGAGGGAGGGTGGGGGCAACAGAGGCGAGACTACCTCCTGGGACCCCGAGTGCCCATGGGGGCCCGCACCTGGGACCTGCCTGGATGGCCACCCCCATCCCAAGAGCCAGGGAGCCTTGCAACAGTCCCAGCGCCACTCCTCCCGCTGTCACAGACACAAGGCCTCCCAAAGGGGCAGGACTCGCCAGGGACTCGGTCTATTGACAGAAGCAACAGCAGGGAAGGAAAAACCAGAGCCGGGGAAAAATGCACTTAGGGTCTAATCTTGAGCTCCAACAATGCCGGTCTATTACCGTTTCCTGTGCATCCTCAGAGCTGACATTTTATAGACAATTTCCAAAACAGGGCCTTGCCATTGCTGGATTATATTCCAGCTGTAACTTTTAAGTCTAATAATTGGAGCTGACAACCCGCTATGACAGGGCGGAGTGGCACCTGGAGGCATCAGCATTCAGTGGGGTGACAGCCTAACCGCGGGGGCAGGCAGCCCCGCAATCTGCATTTACTCGCGGAAATTTCTCTGATGAAAATAACACAGCATTCAGGAGGGGATAAGGGGCAGGATCCACTGTATCAAGATAAAACAACTCTTTAATAAATAACCTTGTGGCTGCCGCAGAGCAGTAATTAAATGCCGGCACACTCGGCACACAGTTTTAAGTAAAGCCGGAAAAACGTAAGATGGAATTATCAGCGCCAAACAAATTACCAGCCGGGCAAATCCTCCTGGAATATTTAGAAACTCATTTATGCCTTCCCATTAAATATTTGTGTACATGCTTATTTTTGGTGGGACCACAGACGGAGAGAAGGGACAAGGGACTAGGAGGGTGGGGGAAGGGGTGCAGGGGCGGGCGGCTGCAGGCTGGGCTCTCTCTGCTGATGACTGTTTTCTGAACCGACCCGGCAGATCTGCCCGGTCAGCGAAATGGTGTAACTGAAATGCCCCAGAGCTCAGGAGTGCATATGGATGGATGCTCGGGGCTGATATCTGAGCCGAGGCCACAGCCCTCCTCCCGACTGGCTCCCTCTCCCTCGCGGAGGAAACTCAAGCTGCAGAGAGAATGCAACAGGGGACCAGGTGGCCCGGGTCTGCTCCCTGGGGGTTAGCCCAAAGCCCAGGACACAGGAGAACCTCCTCTGACCATTCAGACCATGTGACACAGGACCGCTAGCCCCTACTGCTGGTCCCAGGACTGGAGGTAGGAGCCTGGCCCTGGGGGTGTGAGACTGCTCTGGAATGGGCTGCTGGAGTCTCTAAGAAGTGCTCCCCAAACTGTGGCTGGGCCAGGGCCTCTTGCAGGTTCCCATGTGGGCCTCCCTAAATGGCAGTTGACCGTTCAGTCAGGTGTGAGCTCCTGCTCTGAATGCCTAGGACCCAGCGTGGGCCTGAGGAAGTGCCAGCTGTCTGGGGGGCTTGGGCAGAGAGAAGGGCCTGGGGCAGGTGGGAAGACCCTCATTTGGATCTGGTCGGAGATGGAAAAGACAAGTCCCTGGGGGACTTCCTCAGTGAGCCAAGATGGCGCCACCCACCCAGCGCCCCGTACCCTAAACTCAGTAGGCAGAGCAGGGCTGTTGCCCATCCAGCCTGGGAGAGGGGCTCAAGGACAGCGCAGACTCTGTAGGACTTTCACCCTGTGCTGCAGGATCTTGAGGGGTGAGCTCATTCTCCATTAGCCTTTCCCCTTCATCTTCCCAGTGGTTTCGACTGAGTTTGGACAAACGTGGATTTTAGGTGAGGGGGACTGTGGAAGGCCCCACAGGTATGCGTAAAGCCCTACGGCTCTTACTGCTCCCACAACCACTCCTGAGCTCCACCTGGAGCAGAGAGCTGGCCTGGCCTGGGCACAAAGGCAGGGACCAGTCTCGTGCCATGCACCATGCCCACCTGACCTCCCCAGCAGGGGAGCCCAGCTAAGGGGACATGCAGACACGTGGGGTGTCAGGGACCCAAGCAGCAGAAACATGCGGGGCAGGGGGGCCTGCCCATCCACCACTGGTCCTGCCCGCCTGCCGCCCAAACAGTGGAGCACAGAGCTCAATGGGCGGGCAGGCCTGACTGGGGCCTGAGGAGCTGACCGAGCCCACCGTTCCCTACAGACGGGAGCATCCCGTTGATGGGCGAACTGTAGATGGATAAGAAGTGAAAAGGACCAACCTTCTCGCTGATCTGAGAGATGAGAGTTTGGGTTGATGGCAGAGTGCGATGAGGATGAGGAGGAAATAAAAAAAGACAAGGAGAAACACAGAGAGTAAAAACAGGCCAACCTTCATCTGCCCACACAGCACGGAAACGAGACAAGACTCTTGTGCCCCACGCACACGCATGTGCCCGCAGGTGCGCGCGGACCACGCCGCTCACAAAAGACTCAGGACTCATGGAGGACACGGCGGACAGGGCTGCGTCCCGCTGGCAGGCACTAGGTGCCAAGGGTGGGACAGGGAGGGGCGGGAGTGGGGCACAGGCAGGCCCCCATGCCTCACGCGCACCTCAAGGCTCGGACAGACCCAGTGAGCTGGGTTCTGGGGTCAGGGCCCACCCAGCCCACAAACCGACCAAGGCGCATGGGCCACTAGAACCCCGCCACCTTGAGGCAGCCCCACGCTGTGTGGCACCAGAGCGTGAACAGCTGGTCTGGGAGCCTGTAGGGAGAAAGGCCGTGGAGCCATCGCCCTGCTTAGAGACAGCTGTGGCCCAGTGGCCAGGTCCCTGCAGAGAAGGGGGAAGGGTGGGGGCAGGTAGGCCAGGCTCTGTGGGAGGCGTGGCTCCTCCCCGGTGCCTGGCAGCTGTGTGTCCTAAGAGCTGGAGGAGAGAGATGCTGTGGATGGAAGGAGAGAGTGAGTCACTGGGGGAGGGAGTCGGACGGAGAGAGGTTGGTCCACCCAGCAGGCCTGGGCCTGCTAGACTGTGGGTGGAGCTGCGGGCAACTGTGAGCAAAGTCAGACGAAACTGGGTGATGAAGGCCCAACACTGCTATCCCCACAGCGGGAGCAGCTCCGGACTGTGTGCCCAGCACTGGGCCAGGACCATGACATGCACGGTCCCATGAAATGCAGCACCTGCAGGTCTCAGAGAGACAATGGGAACCCCAAGTCTGGGGGACAGAGGGACGTGAGGTGAACACTGAAGCCAAATCCGAGGAGGAGACACGGCCTCAGGCCCCGTGGGCAAGGCAGACGACAGTCAGAGACGCATGGAGACGACAGCCAGCGCGAGGCTGTCCATCCAGAGCAGTGTTTCTTAACGGGGGGGAGGAGGATTCCCCCAAGCGACACTGGGCAAGCTCTGGAGACACTGTGAGTTGTGACAACGGGGTGCTACGGGCACCTAGTGGGTCAGTAAACATCCCACAACGCCCAGGACAGCCCCACACAGCTAAGGGTTACTGGGCCCCAAATGTCAATGGAGCTGGAATCCACACTGAACTTTATGCTGAGGTTCCTGATGGCTGGAGCCCAGTGGGGGCCTCCCAGTGGCTGCCGCTTGGCTGGGAGGCAGGGGGGCACAGGCCAGTGGGCAGGCCAGCACTGGGGGTTTCTCCATGCATGGACCACCCACAAGCAGGGTTCAGGATACAGAATTCGTGGCCAGAACCGCAGAGACTGTGCCAGAGGAGCTGGGGTTGATGGGCCCTCAGCACTGCTGGGGGCAGAAAGCAGGGGCTTTACTAGGACCGTGATGAGGAGCGGGTGGACCCCAGAGGCCAGGGTCCTAGGAGCAAGGCTTTCTAGGTGTCTAGAAGTCCAGAGTAAGGCTTGTCCTGGGGCTACAGGGCAAACTGCTCTCTGCAAAGCAGGGCAGGCACAGATTCAGGTGGGGCCTAGTTATAAGGCAGGTCCTAGGGACAGACTTAGAACTGGCCCTTAGACACCAGGGCCCACAGGAATGTGTGTGTGTGTGCATGTGTCAGAGAGAGGGAGAGACAAGGCAAGTGGGGTTGGGACACCCTATTTCAGAATCCCTAGCAAGTGGGGCTAGAACTAAAGGAACCCCTACATTCCCTGCCCAAAAGGCCTGTGGAAATGGGCCCAGGAAGGCAGTTCAGGAAGACCTGGTGGAAGCGGGGATGGGCCAGAGTCCCGCCTGAGCTCACCACGTGTAGACAGTGGGGTCCCCACAGAGAAGGGTAAGAGGGGCTGCAGGTAAGAGCCTCCTGGTCGGTGCCTGAGCCACCAGCTACAGCAGCAGCTGAGCTCAGCTCATCCAAAGAGACCCACTGTCCTGCCTCAGGGCTAAGGCTGGTGTGATGGTGACTTTGGAGAACTCTGCCCAGCCAAGACGACGATGCCCAGTCCATCCACCTTGGGTCTGGGCCTTCTCCCGCCTCAGTACGGCCTCTGCAGCTCTGCCCCAGGAAACGTGCCCATATGACCGCACCCGTGCAGCTTGCTTGGGATACACAGCGGCTCTGCCGCGTCTCTCCTCTCCCTGGCGCAGCCACACGCAGTGAAGGACTTTGCTGCTGAGGCCCGGAACCTCCACATTCTCAAGGCTGTGGTCTTGTGGAAGAAGTGCTTGGTGAGGCCCACACAGCAGGGCAAGTGGTCTGGGTGGGAGGAGTCAGGTCTTTGAGGAGGGTTGATCCAGCTGCTCCTCTCAGAGGGGACGCGTCAGGCCCCTGTATGCTGGTCAGAAGCTCTGCCTGAAGCAGGGTGGGGGAAGGCTGTGCAATTTACAACACTCATCTTGGCCATTTGGGCAGCTTGCACGCTCCTGGCCTCCATGCCCTGATGCTGCTCCTTAAGACAGGCCCTGGGTCAGCTCAGGGGAGTGTCGAAGAGCAGAACAGCTGAGAAGGGGACCAGTGGGGACCTCCCGTCCCATGCCCCTAATTCCGATGGGGCATCAACCAGTCTCTGAAGCACAATTTGCCCATCACCTGTGGCCTCTCGGGATCTTGTGCCCTGACACATCACAGCCCCTCAATAAGCACGTGGTTGATGGCCTAATTCTCTCTGCCCTGTCTGACCATGTGGCCCTGAAGAGTGGGACAGGCCACTGCCATTGCCCTGCCCCAGGCTTGGCCCTGGGCGGACAGGCAGCCAACACCCTTTGCGAAGCTGCAGTATGCACTTAGCATGATAAAATCATCACTGCAAGGAAACTGCATCCACTTTCCTTTACAAATCCCCGGAGTGTAGACGGTTTCACTTTTAATGATGCCCATCTGTGCGGGAGGGTTAAGTGGTGGGGGGGATGGCAGGGGTAGGAGGGGCACCTAGGGCCCGTCCTGGACACTGTGCACACAAAACCCAGTGTTCTCAGGAAGGGGTAGGTGGCCAGCTTTGGTTCCCCCGGGGCTGTGAGCATAACAGACTGGACAGGCCAAAACAGTCCTCAGACCCTCTCTGCTGGGTACCCGGACTTGTGAAAGTGTGGGATCCACGAAGTCCCAGCAAGGAACACCTAAAACACACTAGGTGCTCACCTGTAGGGGCTCAAAGCTGCCTTGGCCTGACCCCCTACACAGGGTCCTGGCTGATGACAAAGCACAGCTGGCTCCTCCTCCAGGAAGGCCCCAGGCAAACCTGGTCAGACGGCAGGTATACCTGGCCCGGAGCCCACCCTACTGGGGTGGGCAGGACACACTCAAGGAAGACCAGGCAGGTGTGTACATGTTCACACACACACGTGTGCCTGCTCTCTCTTTCTCACACACACACACACACACACACACACACACACACACACATACACACACACGCACGCACGTCTGCTCAGAAGGCTCTAGACTCCCGCGGGGCTCTGGGCCCATGAGGCAGGACCTACAAGAGATACAAATGCTCCCAAGAGTGTCTGTTTCCCAAAGGGCCTGCGGGAGGAAGGCAAAGTAGGGGCAGATGTTAGGAGCTTGCCCAGTGGGAGCTGCTGCTGCTACGGCTGCTGCAGAAAGAGGCGGAAAGGAGACTGGGCCCATGGCAGCCCGCTAAGTCCACACCAAGGCTCGGGGCAGCAAGCCCGGCGAGGGCAGCTCAGCTCCGTAGAATCAGGGCTGGGCACCGCCTGAGTCCTTACCTCGCACATACAGGTTGGCGGGGGCCGAGTAGCGTGTGCCTGCGGAGTTGGTCGCCACACACTCGTACTTGCCTTGGTCCGACTCCTCGCTGCTCTCAATCTGCAAGGCACCTGTGGGGACACAAAGACAACGGTCAGGCCTGCGACCTGAGGAAGGGTCTCGACAGCATCTGAGGCTTGTGTTGACCAGATGTTGCAGACATCAGGGCCACACCCCGGCACTGGTGCTGCCTCCGGGAAGCTCTCCCTGACAAGCCCGGAGGCCTCCTGGCTGGAACGGAGGGTCGTGCTCTGGAGCACAATCCCGCCCCACGCGCGGTCCAGTTGGGCCTGCTGGCTCGCCCAGGGGCTCCACCCCATCCCCCAACTCCACTGAGTGTCTGCCATACTCTGGCTGGTACTGGAGCCTGTTTGCCAATGAGCATCCCCATCAGAGCACTGTGGAGCCAGGTGTGGGTGGGACAGCCTGTAGACCGGCTGGCCTGGGACCTCTGAGCATGCATTGCCCTCCTCAGCAAGACCTGAGACTCTGCTGCCCACCAGAACCCACAGAAAAGAAGGGGTGGCCCTGGGGGCCCGGTGCCCAGCAGCCTCTGCTCCCAGCACCCCCCTCCCCACCCCAGCCCCACCCATTCTGGCTCCTCTCCTCAGCCTGGTCCCGCTAAAGTGCTTCGACCCACCACGGCTCCTGCATAATTCAGGAGGCTAATGGAGGATGCAGCTCACACTCAGGCCAGTGCCCTGAAGGGCTGCTCTGGCCACAGACGGACAGACAGGAGCCGGGACTGGGGGTGCCACTGAAAAGGACGCTCACAGAGGGTGGAGGAAAGGGCTGGGGCCAGTCCTGGCAGGTCCAGGCCAGGGAGGTCGAGGTGAAGGGGGGGTGGGAGATGGGGGTGAAACTGGCCGACTTGGCCACCTCCAGCCCTGGCAGTAAACGTCTGGGAACTCTGCTGGTGAGAGCACACCGGGCAAACCGTCTGTGACAGGGAACATTCCGAGGGACCAGCAACGCCCCCTCCCTGGAACAAGCCAACGGACAATCACACCCACACAGGACGGTCCAATGGACAGTTAACAACCCCACAGGACACAGCCTGACAAAAACCACTGCCTGCACAGGCCTACCCCTCCCAGAGCCCAGGCCAGCTGACAGTCACGCCTACACAAGACACACACAGAACTGCCTGACCCCACCTGACCTGACCTGACCGGACCCACTAGAAGAGTTCCAGGCCACGTTCTCATGGCTCAGGCCCCAGGCGGAGGGCCACTGCGTCTGAGCTACAGCCCCTTCACCGCCCGACACCCCTCTTCCACCACCCGGAACTGGGGCAGCAGGAGGGGCGTGAACATCCAAGGGGCTAGGAGCTGGAGGTGGGGAGAGGGGTGCCCAGGCTGGGCCCTGATACCAAGAGAAAATGGGCTGGCCTGCTCTGTGGTCCTGGGCAGCCCTCCCCACCAGCATCAGGGAGTGTGACGGCCCAGGGACTGTGCCAAATACCCATCTCCTGCGAGAACAGCCCCGATGGGCACTCAACAGGTCATGTTTATGGGATGGATGGACGTTGTCACAGAAAATGTTCATTCAGGCAGGTGGGGCTCAGGGCCCTGGCCAGAGGGAGGGGGGCTATATCAAGGTCAGCTCAGCTCGGGGTAGCGGGAGTCCTGGCTGGTGCCACAGGCGGGAGCAGGGAGTGGTACCTGGGTGGGATCCCTGCTGGGGGAGGAGTCTCCCCTGCACTGAGAGCCAGGACTGGTCAAGGGACCCAACATAGACCCTGAGCCTACGGCACACAGAAACCCCCAAATCTGGAACCAAGACCAAGACCCAGCAGCGGGGGCACTGAAGAGTCAGCACAGGCTGAGCGGATGGGCGGGGGGATCCGGAGGCTGAGTCCTGTCCTCAGCAGGTGATGGACAAGATGCACCACAGGGGAGCAGCTGCTCCACCCAGCCACATCTTCTGCTCTAAGAGCAGCCTGGCCCTAAACTCTGAGGGTCTAGATGTGCCCAAGAATACTGAATAACACATTATGGAAGCAACCATTGTACAGGTTGCCTGCTCTGGGCCAGACGCTGCCCAAATCCTCTTCCTCCCCTCGAATCCTCACGACCCCACGAGGGAGGTGGGGCCCTGGCCCTGACTTAAGCAGAAACAGACTTCTGAGAGAGAAACTGAATTTGTAAAGGAGTTGAGGTGAGTCAAACTCGAACCGGACCTTTGAGTACAGTCCAGGCTTGGACCACAGAACGTAGGGTGCTGCTGCATGAAAGCAGCTGGGGCCGATAGGTCAGGGGATCAGGCTACCTAGGATCCTATTTATTTCTGTTGTCATCCCAGCCTCTACATTAAAGCCTTAACTGCGCGTCCCTCCTAGCGTTTGCTGAGCTGGGGGATTTACAGGGGGATCCTCATTCTACTACAGGGCTGGGATGTTAACGGGGAAGTTAGTAATGATTGAGGGCCCAAGACAAAGAAGGTTCTCAAGAAGGAAGGCAAGGCTCGGTCATGCTCCCCCACCTCATGGGAAGACTTTCTGTCTCTGGCCAGCCTTGAGGACCAGGGCCTGGCTTCCCTGCAGGAGCCAGCAGAGCCCCTTCTGTGGGGCTGGCCTGGAAGGCCTGGGCAGTTGGGCTTCCAGCCCCAAGACAGGGATGAGCCGAGTATCTCCACAATCCAGACTTGCAATGGATGAGTCACAGGAGGGGATGGCTGAGAGTGGATGTGTGTGGTGGCCGGTGGTGCTGAAGGGGCTGGAGCTGGAGATGAGGAGGCTGGAGAGGTCGGGATGGGGATGCGGGAGGTGACGGACGGGACTGGACGGGATGGAGTGGTGGTGACGGCGGCGGCGAGGTGTGGTGTGGCGAGATGCACGGACAGCATTCTTACCTCTGATTGGTGAACCACCTGGCGAGGTAATTTGAATGCAAATAAGATCAGAGAGAAGCATTAGTACAAAAGGAAGGAAAGCCAAATCAGATAAAATAAAACATGAGAGGGCCTTAAATATACAGAGAAGTTGAGGCGTGGCTTAGGTGTGAGCAAGCACCAGGCTGTGTGTAGGCAAAGCTGTGTTCCCCAGGTCGCTGGCACGGCTCTGGGGAGGGGGAGACTGAGGCTGGGCCAGCAGGGCTGGGGGTGCCAGGAATCAGGATGGTGAGTCACGGCTCCTGCAGACTCCACCGGCTGAGCTCAGTGGAAGGGCAAGGTGAAGAGAAGACGCGATACCCCACCCTGCAGGGCTCTCCAGATTCCACAGGTGAGTAGGATTTCAAAACAGAGCACTTACCCAAAGCAGGGCATTTAAGCAGACCAAAGAAAGGGCTAAAGGGAGAGCTCACCTCAGGCTATCACCAGACCAGCCCTCCACAAACACACACACCAGCCCCCTACTCACCACCCGGTGGCAGACCCCTGTAAAGCCACCCGACCTTGCTAAAGACCTTGCTGAAAACCAACTGACAGCAGAGTCCCCCCACCTGATTGGTGAGAGCCAGGGGCCATTCCCCGCCCCCACCCCTTGCCTGTTCATTGCCTTGTAACCCTGGGAATCAGGGGTTACAGCCTAGAGAGCCAGATGCCCACCCTGCAAATGCCTGGTGTGGGTCCATTATGAGGTCTGGACACGCTCCCTTCCCAACAGGGACCCCCTCTTCTACCACTGCCCCATCCAGAGGAGTGAGGGGCCTGTGGGCAGCCCCAGGTCAGCCCCGTCCACCCTGCCCTTCTCTGCCCACTCCTGGGGAGGGAAGTGTGCAGGGAGACAAACACTGGTTACTATCTCACTGAACCTGAAGACACCCACTTAGGAGGAATTATCCACCTCAGCAAGAATGAGGAAACAGAGGCTGAGGAACATTAAGTGCCCAAAGCCGAAGGTCACACAGCTTATGAGGCGGCAGGAACTAACCAGGTCTGGCTCACAGCCTTCCCACTGGACACAGAGGCTGGAGACAAGGCCAAGGCAGCTGCTGGGACCTGGGCTGTGTGCAAGGCACGCAGAGGCTGTCCAGGAAGAACCATCATCACTGTGATCCTCCAAGCGTGGTCCACAGATCTTCAGTGCCCCCAGAGGCCCCTTCGGGGGGTCCGCAAGGTCAAAGCCATTTTCATAATACTGAGAAGCTTTTTGCCTTTTCCACTCTTGTTCTCTCATGAACATACAGTGGAGTTTCCCAGAGGCTTCAGGACATGTGATAGCACAACAGACCAAAAGCAGAAGCAGGTATGAGAATCCAGCTGTCTTCTATTAAACCCCAAATTAAAGAGATTTGTAAAAGTGTAAAACAGGGGCACTCTTCTCACTAAATGCTTTTGTTTCACGAAATATAATAATTTTCCATTAAAAAATATTGTTTACGTTAACATGTAATGGGATTTTTAATTATTTTAAAGTGGATTAATAAATATTTAAAATCTTCTCAGTCTTAACATCTAATATGGCAAATACTGATAAATAAAACCCACACAAACAAAAGCTCTTGGAGGTCCTCTGATATTTACAATCAGGGGTCCCGAGACCAAAAAGTCCACACGGCTGATCGACTCCTACAGTCCAGGCCTGACCTGGGATGGGGAGGGGAGCTGGGAGAGGGAGGGGTGGCAGCGTAGATGCTCCAGGACTGGGACACCCTAGCTTCTGGCCTCAGCTCTTCCG